AAATTAAACACTATCTAAAGATTTGCATCGAAGCGTTTTTTTTTGATAGTGATTTTAATCACTGTCAGATATCATTATACTTGATCCAACTATGCCACGTCACCACTGTGCCGCGACTTTATAATTGTAAAAATAATATTATTTTTGTGTTACATTTCTAGTATTACAATACAGGTTTATTTATCCTAATTTGTTATTAATCCGTATGTATTCTACTTGATGCAGATAATTTATGTCAATAATACAGACCGCTTGCTTTGAAAAAGATACCAAACTGACATGGAAACATCAAATCAGTAAAGTTAAAAAAAATTATCATAGGACTCTTTTAGTTGAAACCTTATGTATACATTATTAAATTGTTAACTGAAATGAAAGTATAATGCTATTAAGGATTCAGTTTTGTTCATCACAGAAAGACCTCGTGTACATACATAAAGTGCTAGGGTAAGTATGATCCAGGATTTATTTTTAATTGTGTCTAATGCAAAATTAATGTTCGTTGTTTCAAGCAACCGCGCTTATTTAATCACATGTTTTTGTTCCTGGAGTATATTACTCGGCGATAGGCCTGCGCGGTAATCATTTAATATATTCGACAGTCGATTGTTCTAAAATAATCGATTTTATTCGATAAATAAAACTATTTAAAACTATACTAATCTTATTAATACATAAATTTATAGTGAGTCAAATAATTTGTCATTGTCTAGAAAAAATAATTTGCTTTTGAATTGCCAGTCTTATAGATCTTTATGTATGGATTAATCACTCATCCAAACATTTTTCTAATAGTGTGACCATATTTAAAGATCTATAAGACGATGGCATAATAAAAGATAAATTATTTTTTCTAGACCTATACTCTTATATTCACTTTACTCATTGTACCGATAGTAATTTTAAAACATAAACATCGATATATATATATATATATATACTAAAATTTAGAGGGGTATAAGCTTCCCCATTAGCTTAGCCATAATATTTTATTGAGAAATATAATGTGTGATGGGTTGTGATTAATATCAATTGAAAAAAGTGTTGCTTAAACAAATATTATATTATTATATAATATTGCGGAAAATTCAACACACCATTGGATATTCATATTACCAATAAATACGTTTAATTTTATATTTTTTAAATATTTAATGTGTAGAGAAATACGCTGACATTTTTTATGTCTGTTTTGAGTTATTAAAAATAAATTTAAAAATCAAACCAAAAACTCAGAATATTACAATATTCTTTAGTGGGGACGCGTATAAATGATATGTGACTGTAATTTAAACACTTATAAAAAACGCTTCAATACGTATCTTATAAATTTAATAATAATTGGTATATTTGTATTTTTGTATTTTTACAATTGCTATGTTTAAAACGCTGGGACGTTTTTCTTTTTTCATCATAAAGTGTTCTTAAAAAGCTTTAATTTTTATAAGCTTAAAGAACGCAGATGTCACAGATGTTGAAAACTAATCCTGTATGTAGGTTTTCTATTAGATTTTCATGAATTGCCATTCAAAATTGGCACTACAAAAGAAAACTTATTGATTTAATAATTTTCTATTACAATTTTATAAAGATTCTGTGACTATTAAAAAATGTATTACAATTTTAAAATTTTAATTTTGGGCGACCCCAAGTAGTTAGGATTAAGGCGAGGAAGAGAAGATTACAATTTTAAAATGCAGAAAAAATTGCGATTTTCGACAGATGCTAAATTATGAGATATTTTTCTAAATCTTTAAAATTGAGGATGTTTTTACAATATTTGAAGGTGATATTTTCAACTAGGTAGGATTCGGATTCTTTTGACGTACAAATCATTATAATCGCCCTAGTGAGAATTGAGAATTTCTATGGACAGTTAAAAAAAACTAACATTATGGTAATACCAATACAATTTCAACTTCGCATCGCAGTTACAAACAATAGATTTACAAATCAGTTGTAAATTTTCTTTTATTGAAAAAAAACATGTATTCAATATGTATGTGATATTTTTGTTCTTATTCTTTTAGCTTCGATGCGAAGCTGAGAAGCTATTATTTTACTATGATGTGTGTTTTTTTTTTTTTTGTGTCTGTTACCACTTTTTCTCAGCTCTCACCGAACGGATTTCTTTCAACGATACGTCAAAAGATCACAAATCGTATCTAGTCGAAGACATTACCCTTCAAAATTGAAAAAAATTCCCTCGTTCCCTATAAATGGGGGAAACCTCCAAAAAAATTACAAATTTAAAAATCGCTAATTTTCGAAATTTTTTCAATTTTTTTTACTAAAAACTGCCGTAACTTTTTCAAAAATGAACATATCAATATAATTTTTTTTTATATAGATGCTTGATGTCTTTACCTATCATTTGGTATATTTTTTTTGTAAATCTGACACTTAACCTGCCCACAGGGGGGGATTTAAAATGACAACTTTTTCACAAAAAATTAACTTTTTCAACTTAACTTTTGAAAATGTTCCGGAAGGTCTGACACTTTTATATATATCTTAAATTAAAGCTAATGTAATGTACTTTAATTTGAAAAAAAAAAATTTGACCTCTGGACTTGTCTTCATGGTGAAAACGGCTACCGAATGCTATTTTCGTGTGAAAATTTTCGATTTTGTATTTTACATTTTTAACTTTAAAATGCTATAACTTTTTAAAAAATGTATGGATCAATATAATTTTTTCATGAAAAGTAGTATTCATATACATCTTTCATTGGACATACTTTTTTTTTAAATCAGACCATTTCCCTATATATGGAGGGGCTTAAAATATAAAAAATGCATATATAGAGTAGAACTTTTTCAACTTAACTTTTAAAAGTGTTCTGGAAGGTCTGACACTTTTATATATATCTTAAATTTAAGCTTATGTAATATACTTTAACTTGAAAAAAAAAAATTTGACCTCTGGACTTGTCTTCATGGTGAAA